GTAGCTGTTGTTACTAATCAGTTCATATATTATAAAAAAAAATATTATTGATATTCAGTCTGTGATGTTTAGATGATAATGCTTGTCATGGCGTGGGAAGGGATACAAATTTCTACCCTATATACATATATATATAATTTAACATTCCTTTTAGATCGTATTTTACAATAGAAAAACCTCGTCAGCGCAGCTTCTTTGAGGCTAACATTTGAATCACACATGTGTTCGTTAGTCTTATTAGATTAATACAAAAGAATGTTAAGTGAAAAATCTCTAGCAGACTATAGTTGTTTTCCATGGATTATCAATTGCCAGGGAAGCGATCTGCTTTATTCGAACAGAAATTTTTTTACTTTTTTTACTAGTGCTCTATTTTTTGTTTGCAGTGAATCATTGATTCAACTGACAAATAAGTTGATTGTACATGTCTATTATTATCTACAGTAGGTCTCAATGCACTATGATAAATCTCAATAAGCTCTGAAACACTGATATTCATTAATTTCCAAACTTATAACTTTTTTTTTAATATTGATCTCACTAACTGAATAATTTAGAACATTCGCAAATGTATTCTGACCATTCACATTTCGAGAAAGGCTTCGGGCTGTTCTAGAACAGTCTAAGTCTTGTTGTCAATGCTGTTTGGCGCTTTTTTTCCATTGCTAAAAAATTCTGATAAAGAAGTCTGACGCTTGTCATCGTCGATTGCTATGGAAATGTACACAGTGATCATTGATCACCTCCTCCCCCTCCCCTCGCTCCTTGTTGCAGCAACTTTCGAGAAAGAAACTAGCCTGAAGGAAAGTACCTAACAGAGAGTGAGGGTAAAAACGACACTTATAGTCGGCGATTAGCTGAGGATGAAAGCTAACTCTTCAGAACTATAGCTCCGTTTTGATACAGTTAAAATGTATGATATGCTATCAATAGATAAGTTTGGTGATTTTAAGTAAATTTCGGTAGCTCCTCTTCAAACTTACACTCACTATATTTTTTTCGTTGAAAAAGATAATGTGAGTTCCACAAACAATAATAATATTTATTTAAATTTACCGTTCTCGAATATTATCATTAGTAATTAGTACAGCATTAATTCCCCATGGACAATTAACACTTGAACCAGCTGTTCGGTGAAAATCGAATTGACAACAAATTTTTGGATCAGGACCACATGTATGTGGAATATCATAGGAATAAAATGGCATCATATGTGTGAAAATTCCTGTAGAATTATTTCGATCTAAAAAAAAAAGATATATGTATTTATAAAAAAATTTGAAACAAAGTTTTTTTTACCCCAAGTTTGTTGCCAAGTAAATTCTAATTGTTTGTCTTTAGCTAAGGATTTTTTAATATGGTAATGAACTCTAAATAGAAACAATTAAGAATTTATTTGCATACATTTTAAAATATTTACCGCTGTATAGCCATATATTGCATACCAATACTATGAAGTAAATAAGCCATAGTTGGTGAATAACCAAATGGATCATTAGCCCAGCCACTTTGTAGGGTAATATTTCCTAAAATAAAAATCACTTTAATCAAAATACAAAAGAATTTGATACAATTACAAACCTAAATTATTGTCAATAAATTGATGTCCTTCAATTAATTGATCAACCATAGCAAAATAATGTGTATTAGCTTCATCATTCATTACCTTAAAAACAAACAAAAAAACCAGTTTGTTAAAATATAGTACTTCCTAAAATTATTCGAATAGATTTATTTTCATTGTTTTCCACTATCGTCAACGCTGATAAGAATCTAAATAATAATTTATGTAGAGAATTTCGTTTCCAATAAGAATTTTCTTAGATGAAAAAGATCACTAATTTTCTAAAGATCGGATCTCTGAAAAATCGAGACTCAAATTTTTCACCTCCTAGAATTCTGTTTGAATTATCCAGAATAATAGAGCAAATAATTCTCTACAAAATGAAACATTTTCTAATTCTCTACGACCAATTTTTGACCGATATACATGAAACTTATAGAAGGTACAAAAATGATGTTTCTATGCGGAATAACAGGAAAAAACAGACTTTTGTGTCTTCCGTAAGATTGATATATCTCAGTCAAAAACCCTTGTAGAGAACTGAAAGATGCTTCAATTTATAGAGAATTGTTTACTCCATCATTCTGGACAATCTAATTAGAATTCCAAGATATGAAAAACTTGGATATCAGTTTTTTTTACAGATCCTATCTTTGAAAAACTAGCAATTCCTTTCCTCTTCGAAAATACTCGTTAGAAATAAAATTCTCCCTAAAAATTACTATTTGGATTTTTATTGACGTTGACGATAGAGAAAAAAATTGAAAATAAACGTAATCGAATCATTTTGCGAGTACTGTTCTGCACGAATACAACTTTTTGCAACTGGACTTGGACCGGAGCTAATCGATATTCGACAGATACTTTCGCAGTCACAGAACAGTTTTCAAACTTTCATTTTATATGAAAAAGTATACTATTTAGTTTCTTCCATAAACAGCACTACAAAAAAAAAGAGATCATCTCAAATTCCACAAAAAAGTAAGTGATTCAGGATTCATTTGGTATCTTTCTGCTCCTAAAATTCATGAAATTTTGCTAAGTATATGTTTTTTTATTGCTAATAACGCTAGAATGGAACGCAGTGTTGGTGCCAAACGTCATAATTATAGATACATAGATAAATACTTTTTTCATCACGATAATACATGTTCACTTTTTTAATAATTCACTTTCTTCTCCATGTATTCAGTTATTTTATCATACGATTCATTATCATCTGTAAACAAATTTTCATGAAAAACGAATTCTTTTAGTAAAACAATATCGCTTTCTACTTCTGTAACCTATTCACAAGTACAATCAATTGATCGAACCGATTTTCACTCCTATACTTTTATATAAATTAGCATTTTCAAAAAGGAAAAAAAATATTTTGAAATGTCGAGATCTCCTTCATTGTCGGGTCAAGTCCAGCTATGAGATCATACTCAGGATCTGAACCAACTCTATGAGTTTTCATCCGAGTCTATACTTCGGGCCGGACTGAGTGCTGAATACCCAGCCTGATTGCAGGACACTATTTGAAAGCTCGTGTATATGCTTGAAACTTTACTTCTAGAATTGTAAGTGACTTTTTTTCTTTCTCTTTATACTTACCCAACCACCGGTAACTATTTCAAGTTGTTTATTATTAGTTAGTTTTTTAAATAATTCTCGTTGATCGAATGATGCTTGATCCCACCATAAACTTAAATAAGACATTTCAGCCCAGACAAATTTATATTTTTTATTTGTATTAAGTATTGTTATCACATTATCAATGATATATTTTGTTGCTTTTTGAAAATATCCTTCAAATGTATGAATCCAACCTAAATAAATAAATAAAAAAAATAATAATTTGATTTAAATTTTTAAATCGTTTGTTTTTTTCCAATACCTGGATCACAATGAGAATGAGGCATAAGAATTATTTTTAATTTATTATTTGATGTCCATTGAGAAGGATCATAAGTTATATCAAATCCTTGTGTCCATACACCACCTTTTTCATCATCGAACGGTAAGGTATTATATAATTGACGAATCTTATTAAATAAACAAAAGACTTTCTAGATATTTAACAAATCAACAGCTTACTTCGAATGTAGTATTAACTGGAGAAGAATTTCGCCATATACATCGATTTATTGTATTAGAAACTTTTTCTGTTTCAATTGGTTTTGAAATTGATTTTTCTTCATGAATTTCGAAGTTTGGTGCAACAAGATGTGTTGGTGGAGGTGGTACTGGTCGTACAATTTGTTCTTTATCTTTGCCTTTCATTGATTGATCAAGATCTTGAATTGATTCTTGAAGATGATCAAGACTTTGACGAACATGTTTCTCATCTGTCACCTATTAAAAATAAACTAAATAAAAATTTTGAAATTCATTATTTAATTTTTTTTCACCTGATTTTCATTACGGTTGATACTGATCGACTGAAGCATTGAATATAGAATAAAGACCATAATGAGAAAAAAGGCTAGAAATAATAGACGAGAAAAACGTCGACGAATCATCTACAACATAGAATAGACTTGTTTTAGAAAACAATATTGAGCTTCAATGAAATGTATTAATTATATACAAAAACAAATGGATAAAATACAGTTTAAGATATGAATGAGATTCAAAATAACTCATAAAACTATTCTTTTATTTTAATCTAACAATTTTTGTTGTGGATTTAACAACTGTTGAAGTCATCTTTTGAGTGTTCCTCTCCTCGAACTCAAGTAAATATCTTATTCTCCATATATGCAATTTAACATCTACTATAAGGAATAAGTAGTTTGAAAACAATATCATGATCATGAGATCTACTTATGAATTATGAATTTCAAATATAAATATGTTCAAAGAGCATATAGAAATCAATTCTTCTAGTAATGTACCTATTAGAGTATGAAATATGTATAAAAAAATTGAAAATAACAGTTCGGAAAATTCTTTTTTTTTTTCAATTTTGTTAGTGTATTATTAGCTATAAACTTTTATCTATTTATCAAAAAATATCGGATTAACTTAACACTTAAATCTAAAAAATAGCAGAATAATATGAGAAAAAAAAAAGGAAAATTTTATTTGCTGTGTTAATATATATGTATATATTTATACATAAAGTCATATTCAACAAAAGTACACAACAAAAGAAAAAAAAAATAAATGACAATGAGACCAATGACATATTAGTATCTAACAAAGAAAATATTTTGTTAGTAAAATAGTAGAGATTCAAAAGACACAATATGTACACATACATAAATATGTTTGATATACACTCAAAACTTTGATAATAATTCACTTGAAATTATACATTCAAAAACAAAAAGAGAAAACCACGGAATTGTCAAATACTTTAAATTTTTTGAACAATAACAACAACAAGAAAAATTAATAAGACATCATAATAATTTTTATTCTTTTTTTTTTTTTGTTTTTTGTTTTTTTAAAGATAAAGTCCATTAATTAAATAATCAGCATCAGTTGAACGATTTTTAAATATTCGACCACGTTTCCATGAATCTCGACAATAGAAACCGACTAAGACAAGTAAAATAATTGTAAATATAAGACCAAGTAGAAAAAGTAAAATAACACTTGATTCACGTAAAAATGATCTTGTATGTGAATAATTCTCTGAATCAATATTATCAACTAAAAGAAAAATAAATATATATTATTTCCAGATGTTTTTCTTTTTTTGTTTTTCTGTCTAATAAATAAAGCATAATCGAAAGCAACTAACG